AGCCGGCAGTGCGCTCATGCGTCCCAGAAGGTCAACCGCATCCTGGGATGTATCAAGAGAAGCGTGGTCAGCAGGTCAAGAGAGGTGATTCTGCCCCTCTACTCTGCTCTTGTGAGACCCCACCTCAAATACTGCGTCCAGTTCTGGTGTCCCCACCATAAGAGAGACATAGATTTGTTGGAGCGTGTTCAGAGGAGGGCCACAAAGATGATCCAGGGGCTGGAGCACCTCTGCTACCAGGACAGGTTGCGGGAGCTGGGATTGTTCAGCCTTGAAAAGAGAAGACTTTGGAGGGACCTAATAGCTGCCTTCCAATACCTGAAGGAAACTTACAGGAAGGCTGGGGAGGGACTTTTTACAAGAGTGTCCACTGATAGGACAAGGGGAAATGGGTTTAAGTTGAAGGAGAACGGATTTAGATTAGATCTTAGGAAGAAATTCTTCAGTACGAGGGTGGTAAGACTTTGGAATAAATTGCCCAGAGAAGTTGTGGATGGCCCCTCTGGAGATGTTTCAGGCCGGGGTGGGGGGGGCCCTAAACTAGTGGAGAGGTGCCCCTGCCCATGGCAGGGAGGTTGGATTAGATGATCTCTCAGGTGCCTTCCAGCCTATGCCATTCTATGATTCTATGAAGTAACCATAGTAGATTTTTTGCCTCAGTTATTTATTCCCAGTATTCATGTGGCTCCTAGTATGTTTTAAATATTTGTTGTAGCTGATTAGCTACAGATAGAGCTTCAGATATTGGAATATTGTTTATGCAGAGTTCCTGGCATCATAAATGAATTTATAATTACCAGTACAAAACACTTCGCATCTGACTGTCTGGCTCCTATCGGGGAAGCATGTGGTAATGATGTGTTGCAGAAGTTTGCCTGTGTTCCAAGTTTGCAGGGCACAACACAACTCCAGCCTCGAAGTTGCTTAAAGAACAGGCTCTTGGTAGAGACCCTTTGAAGCTGTTTCTGAATAGACTGTGACCTGGGCCTGCTGAGAGTCCAGCAGTTTAAAACATCAGAGGAGATAATTCCTGATGGTAGCCTGTGATTAACCTAGATTCTGTGATTCTCACCTAGAATGTCGGGCCACTATTGCAAAAACCAAGAGCTTTCCTTGTTCCACTGACAGCACACAGAGCTTTATGTGGTTTCATGTGATCCACACTGTCCTGTGGCAAAAACTGGCATTTGAGAGCAACCAAACAGCACCAGCTTCTAGATAATGGATAGCTGATGCTAGTGTGTAAGGTAGTCTTCTCTACTGAAAACCTGTCCAGGAAGAATGAATGGCAGTGACCTTCCTATCCATAGAATTAATTCTGTGTTTTTCTTTGGTAAGAAAAGGTTGAGATATTCTGAGTAATAGGAGCAAATACTGCGTATAGAATGAACTGGGAATAACATACAGCCCTGAGACATGAAGCCAGGTCGAACGGCATGTGGCCACTACTAAGCATAGTCAGATCAAACACCTCAAGAGATACTCAAGAGTCTCTTAGTTCATTCCTCCGCTCTGCGGATTGTGGGAGAATGGATTGCTGTGGTGCAGTGCTGGACACTGTCCAGTGTTGTGCACTTACGTTTATTGTACCAGGATAATTAGTTGCATGAGTTTAGATTTTTCAGCATAGTGCATACAAATGCCTCTGCAGGAGTGAGTTCACACTAAGTCAGGCTTGATTTCCTGGCACTGCAGGTACGGAAGATTTTTAGCTCGACACACCTGTAGAGTAAGTGCCCCAAATCTCTTGGTATTTAGCACCATGGCAAAGTAACAGGCCGTTCTAGGGTATGTCTCAGAGATAAGCAATGCAAGAGTTACTGAACTAACAGTTGTTCAATAGCTCCCACTTAGTATTGTCAGTGCTGGCTTTCGTGCTTTCTAGCAGCCCAAGTCAGCAGGAAGGCTTATTAGCTTAGGTGTAGTGCCAGATCTGTACAGAAGACCTGCACCTGCATTTACACAATGATACCGCTGCAATAGTTACCGTTTTGGAGGTCAGGACACTTGAGAACAATGCAAAGATAAAGCCTGAAGTGAAGAAATCTTGTGAGCCTTTTACTAGCTGCAGATGGAGCCAATTGGACTGTTTTCATGTGTGTACTGTGGCTGGCTGGGATAGAGTTGATTTTCTTCATAGTATCTTGTATGGTGCTGTGTTTTGGATTTGTGACCAGTCCTGATAGCACACTGATGGTTTTGCTGTTGCTGAACAGTGCTTGCAGAGTGTCAAGGCATTCTCCGTTCCTCACTGTGCCCCCTCAGCAAGTAGACGGCTGAGGGTGCACAGGAGGCTGGGAGGAAACATAGCTGGAACATCTGACCTGAATTGACCAGAGGGATATTCCAGTTGATATTCCATACCATACAATGTCATGTGCAGCAATAAAACTTGGGGAGTTTAACAGGGTTTGCCGTTGCTCAGGCTGGGCATTGGTCAGCCTGTGGTGAGGCAAAACCCTGATTGCTTTTGCATCACTTGTTTTTCTTTTTGTGACTTGTTTTGTTTCATTTAACTGATTAAAATGTTTTTATCTCAACCCACAAGTTTTCTCACCTTTGCCATTTGGATTGTGTCCCCCATCCCACTGCAGGGGGAAAAATGAGTGAGTGGCTGTGGTGGTGCTTAGCTGGCTGGGGTTAACCCACAACAACCTGCTCCTTCTGAGTCTGGGAGCATGGTTTTGGGCCCTGAAGCTGGATCCATGTGAATCCAGCTCGGATATGAGTGGCCTAGCACGTATGTGAAACGACCTGTATTGTTCAGAGCCTGGTTGGTTGAATCATGTCCTGGAGCTGTCAAGGTTGGCTCTGGTGTCCTTTCTTCACACCACTGTTAATGTATTATTAATTATGTTACATTCTGTTACTGTGCGTAGTTAAGTTGAAAGTTTGATATTGTTATTCCTCTTTCATTAATGAATGCAAAAACAGTTAACTTTCCGTAACTTATTCCACTGCTATCTGCTGACTTCAGTATAAATGAATTTCCAGTAACTGTGCAGCTGTATTTATTAGCTAATGATCGTAAATTTTTTGAACTGTATGTGATTGTATTTTCTGGTGAATCCATTTCTAATGACAGTGAGATTCCACAAAAAAAATAAGTGGTTTGTAGTGTTAGGCTCTCACTTCAAGCATTAGATCTTGAAACATTAGAATTTAAGAATTTCAAAAGACTTTAGTGCCTTTTATGCCTCAGACTGAGTATCTTAACTTGAGATATGCTACAGATACTATATTTTGAAAAGGTAACTGATCTGTTGTGTCTTGAAATGAGGGCTCTTCGAAGGAATTAGCATTGATTGGTTGAAAATTGATGCATCGAAACAGCTAATACTTGATAAGTTCAGTACAAATTAAAAGAAATGTTTAAACTATGTTTTCAACTTGCCATCGAATATGAAGACAATTATAAAACAATTATCAAGACTCTAACCAACTGGCATCTTTTCCTTGATTTTAGGAGCCATCCTGATGTACATAAATTCAGTGTGGAAACAGTCCAGTGGTATCCTCATGACACTGGCATGTTTACATCCAGCTCATTTGATAAAACCTTGAAAATATGGGATACAAATACTTTACAAGTAAGAGAGAATTTCGATAGCTTGCAGGCTTCTTTGTGTACACGTTATTCCTGCCACATCTGCAGTTCACCCAGAGCTCAACAGGACCAAGGATCCAGAAGGTTAAAAACGAGCCTATTGTTAGGACTGTGGGTGCAGCAGAGGGTGGCGTGGTTTTGCCATTCACACATACCTTGGTGTGTACCTGTCTGTTTCTGAAGACCTGAATGTCTAAACTACATGAGAACTTGAACCCTTGGGACAATTTATTCATGTTTTTGCTGTGACCAAGAATACAGCTAGATGAATTCATGCTGTGTAAACTTACCCACCGAGGGCTGGTCTAAAGTTCATTCTGGGGAATTACTGAGTGTGATGGTAGTGTACAGCAGGGCTGATCATTTTTAGTAACCAAGGCCTAAATACTGCTTTTGAAGGACTGGTGGTCTTGGCATTTGGGGTCATGAGGTCCAAAATTCTGCTGTTGTAAGCACTGTAGATGCCATTGCTCAAAATTGGTGGAGAACGAGAGAAACCATTAATAAAATGCTAACCAATGTAACTGGCTTTACCGAAGTAAACAGATTCAGTAGGATTTTAGGTTACTTTGACTCATTAATCCTGGCATCTACTTGTTGAACTATGAATTCTGTACTGCAGTTTATCCTGTTTCCAGTATGTACATGTTAATGAATTTACACTGATGCTGTTGGGGTGTTGTTTCATACCTAGTCAAAGAATTTAAAAAAAATAAAAGGTCTGTCATCCTAGGGACACAATAGAGAATAAATTTTCACCTGTTTTTTTGCGAGATGTGAAGCTGTATTTGTAGTTACTGAATCTTTTCATGAATGCAAATTTCAGTTCACTTTCCAGGTAGTTCTGCGAGCATCACTTAAAAGATGCAGTTTTTATGTGAAGGTTATTGATTGACCCGTTCTGCCACCAAATGTGTATTTGAAAATACAGGCAACTTATTTCTAAGGTTTTAGGGTTTTATTTACAATGTTTTAGAATGAGACAACATAGCAATTGTGCCTGAAAGTAATTACACTGATTATTAAAGCCAGTATTATATTTCCTTAATTTTTAACACTCACAAGGGAACTAATAATTTTGAATGGTTGTTTTTTTTGTTTTTTTTTTTTTAGGAATTTAAGATGGTATGTGATGTCTGTGAATGACAAGGAGCTTCTAAATTTAGTCTAAATGCCTCTTTCCTGTTGACTTCTGTGTCCATATTATAATATTCTTTGATGTTTTTTCTTGCCAGCTTTTTAAATTTTCGATAATTTCGTGCTTCTGATTAGCTAGTTTTCTTGGTCTTTCTTTTGGGTCATCTCTGAGCTCTGGCATAGTTGTTCTAGCCTCGCAAACAGACAGACTTACTTTGCAATGCTTACATGATCTGGTTTCTAACCAGGAGAGTTATTGTTAGTATGTAAATAGTAATGGTTGTATTAGTCTCACTTGTAGATGTTACTTGTATATCCTCATAATTAAGTATTTTTCTTTCTGATAATATAATTGATGCTGACATTAATTTAATCTTTTTGTTGTCAGCCTGCAGATGTATTTCACTTTGAGGGAACAGTCTATAGCCATCACATGTCTCCAGTTGCTACAAAGCATTGTTTAATAGCAGGTATGTATGTGTTTTTAAGAAATGTCCTATGTGTTTTGGGGTTATATTAAAAGCAAGCAATATTCAGTAGAGGTTTTTTCCCCCCTCTCCTGTCTTATTTTTACATAATTTGAGTCATAAAACATAGGGTCATTGGTAAAATAAAATATCGGTTAATCAGATGGTATCAATGAGAATACCACCTTTCTTCTTCTAACATAATCATAGAATCATAGAATGGTTTGGGACCATTCCATAGAATGGAAGGGACCTCAAAGATCTCCAATCCCTGCCATGGGCAGGGAAACCCTCCACTACACCAGGTTGCCCAAAGCCTCATCCATCCTGGCCTTGAACACTTCCAGGGATGGGGCATCCACAACTTCTCTGGGCAACCCGTTCCAGTACCTCACCACCCTCTGAGTGAAAAATTTTTTCCTTATATGTAATCTAAGTCTGCCCTCTTTTCAGTTTAAAGCCATTACCCCTTGTCCTATCACTACATGCCCTTGTAAAAAGTCCCTCTCCAGCTTTCCTGTAGGCCCCCTTTAAGTACTGGAATGCTGCTGTAAGATCACCCCGGAGCCCTCTCTTCTCCAGGCTGACAGCCCCAACTCTCTCAGCCTGTCTTCATAGCAGATGTGTTCCAGCCCTCGGATCGTCTTCGTGGCCCTCCTTTAGAATCACTCCAACAGCTCCATGTCCTTCTTGTGTTGGGGACTCCAGAGCTGAGCGCAGTATTCTAGGTGGGGTCTCACGAGAGCAGAGTAGA